ATTCGCATCCAGCTTGATTCATCTGTTGCACTGTGACGGCCAGCTAGTGCCATCAGCTAACAGAGGGTTTAAGTATTGAGTCATAGCTCTCCACCACTCGATTAAACAAAAGGCGATGAACCACTGGAACCCCTAATGGTCTTCCTATGCACTTCCCCTGTTAGTAATGTAGGTCATTTTGCTGTGGTTGACTGAAACCCTCCTTCATTGAAGGATTATGCTCTGGGTAGTGCCATGAATGAGTCTGGGTACCATTACTCTGAGTTGTTATGAAGGAAACTTTCAGGAGTACGCTCTAGTATTTGTCATTGGTAGCCTACTTACCAACGTACATACGAAGTGGCCGAAGTTGGGAACATACTTTATGGCAAGATTTGTACGATCTACTGCGTTGGAATAACTCTCAATTCTTTTTCCTGCTTATTGATGGAATATTTGCTTCATAAATGATCACCTGACGTACAGAATCATCAGGCGATTTGGAATTCTGCGTGTATTCGTTACATTGCGCACATACATCTGTAGTTAACCTCATCAGAGAGAAATCTGAGTTTTATACTCGCGTAGGCGAGTCATAATTAATGTGCGGCAGGGGGTCTGCCAGAATTCTGTTTTTCCCAAATGAAGACAGTCAGCAGTGCCTTGAAAAGTATGTGGTTGGTATAAAAAATAGCAATAAAGCGTTCGCAATCGCCAGTTCATTGTCAGATAAAAAATATCAATCACAAGTTTACTGCTTAAACTATTGGAAATAGGACGTAGAACCATCACCAACTGACATTTCAGCAACCATTGACTCATTGGTATGATGATGCACCTGTGATTCAGAAGAACGAACAAAAAATACACAACAATGAGACAAGAAATAAAGAATAATCAAGAGGGAATGGAGGGATGGGTAGAAATAGAAACTTAACGCAGATGATCATCATGAAAGGGTCGATTTGAACAGGTTTCCCCGTTATTTGTTTTGTAGTGTTCGTTCCACAGCTTTTCTGTATGCTTCAGTCATCACACAGATGCCGACATATTGGAGCCTTGTAGAATCATACCTCGAAGTGCATTTGGGAAGAACCTGACGCATGGAATGTACTGAAGCGGTTAGAACAGACTTAACAATTTTCGTACTGTAGCTTACAGACTGATCTATCACAACGTGCATGGCATTTCTGTACGACGGCTGACTTTCCACGTTGACTATTTTCATAATCGATTCAAATTTGCGTATGTTCCCTTTATAATTGGAGAAAAAGTACATTGAGGAAGCCTACGTAATTAACGGAAGTACGCAAGTCTTACGAAGCAGTTGTCTAATAGGTTAGGGCGAAGATTTTTGGTGGAGTTAGACGTTTCAAAGCAATGCTGCCGTGTCGTGCTTTGGTGACTACGACTTTTCCTCAAGTACCGTAATTCTGCGTACGGCCCGTGACCTCCTTACTTTTCTTCACCCTCCAAGCGCATACTACCTCCATGCTTTAGCCATAGGCTGCACTGCGTCGTAGAAACCACACAGAGTCGTACACGGCATTTCCCTCAACTCGGTCCGCACTGTCGTAAACAACTACTTCGGCGCTTCCGTCGCACAGGTGTTCGATTTCGTGACATTTTTGCTGCATCGTTAATTGCAGCTGTGTTTGTCCAAGGAAACGCGGCTGGGCTGACGTTTCGCCAGGAACGAAAACTGCTTGAAGATCGTCAAGCTGGTTGTGAGGCGTTTTGAGGACGCTTGCAATGCGACCTCAAATACAAAGTACCGTTCTGCAAGTTGGAGGGCTACAGTTCTGCCTGCTCTGCAACGTGGGGCTCCCGAAGCCGGTCGTTCGACAGGTAATGATGCAAATGACATGGGTACAGTTTCAATCGTTGCCCTCTATAGTTCAATGGGCATCCGACAGAACAACAACACTCTGTGTTATGAAAGTTATGAAACGATACAAAAGTAGACATAACGACACTGATCGATCGCAGCTCTTCCTTACTCCTCATTGCTTGACAGACAACGAGTAAGTTTGCCGAAAGCGATAACGTACAGTGGCTCTTTGTCAATTATTTACTATTTCGTATCTTTCAGCGACGTAGAATTTTGATTATAAAAATTGACACTACTCCATAGTTTGCGCACAGGTAGAATTAGACTATGAATGGAGAAGTGCGCCGGCAAATTTTTGAATTTGCTGTTCATTATATTAAAACCATCAGTGCTGCCATTACTGAATAATTTTGGAATATCTGTCAATCTCAAAGTTCCCTCTTGCTAACAGCGTTTCAATAACAAGGAAGGAGGTCACGAGAAGGGACAAAACGTGGAAAAGTGTTTCTTTACCAATAGCTATTATTCTTACGAACCCTGAAGCAGCAATCATAAACCAGTGATTACTGATTCCACCAGTATCAAAAGAATATATGGTAAAGAGGTTTTAAATTATAATATAATTCAGCATTTCAAATTGAAAATTCTGACCCGTTGATAACCATATGAAAAAACAGTGAAAACTGAATATCTACACGCAACCCAATACGCGTTGTCCATTCTGGTGATGAGTCAATGGGTT